GTTGGGCCAGGATGCGCGACCGACGAAGCAGACGAGCAGCGGCCGAGAACGGAGGGAACTGCGGATGTGCTGAGCGGTCCAAACGAAGGCTCTTGCTTGTGTGTGACTCCGCAGTCAGGAGAATGCAGTGAGGCACCGCTGAACGGCGAGCTGGAGCGAAGAGATTGGCACCCTGGCGACGTGCGCCAGAAGGAGGCAGCTGAGGGCGCTCGACAGCAACAGCAGCAGCTTGAAGAACGAGGCAGGAGAGGCCGAGCCACGACGAACTCAGTCTGGAAACGGAGACGAAGGTGGCAAGTCGGCCTTCGAGCAGGGGACGAAGGAGCGGGCTTCGGCAGCAGCAACGGACAGCGTGCGAGCGGACTGGCACTGGATTCAGGTGACGCGTGGGGACTGTCGCAGGGGTACTCGTGTGGCGGGTACGACCTGGAAGTGAACACGCGTTGGCGCTGAGGCAGACGCAGTTGGCGGGCTCATTACACGTTGGAGTGGCTGTGGGCGAACGGAGTGCCGTGCAACGAGAACGAGAACGAGAACGAGAACGAAGACGAGAACGGGAACGAGTAGGAGGTGAACGAGGTCTGTATTACATTTAATAAATAGGGTCGCGCTGCTATAAGTGGACGATCCGGCGGGGCAACGAGTAGTTGCTGACAGCCATCAGTGTGGACGTGTTTACTTCAACGAAGGACGGACGCAGCGAGAGCTATACGGCTTGCCCAACGGACCGGGCAAGATAAGAGGTCCGCTACAGTCTCTTAATAAAGTTTGCCAATGTTCTGGCTTTGCCGAGGACGACCTTGATAAACGGGATACCCATCAAGTCCTTGAGCAGCAAGTTCATAGCGTTAGCCACATCCACCGCAAAGTAATCCGGGTCGCTTAGCTTCCAAAATGTCCATAGCAGCACGCTTTGTGCTCGGGCTGTCCGTAATGACAGCAACAACTTTTCCCTTACCAACGAGACTTTCAATTTCGTTGATCACACCGAGTATCAGAGCTCGCCTATCTCCACTGATTTATAGTACAGGGGTCGAGAGTTTGGTCCCTTAAAATGAAATTCATGATGTGTTCGCCCGAAATGTTTGTCCACCCATCCGTCTCCAAAACGAGAAGCTTTCCATTCTTCCACGCGTCGATAGTTTCCTCTCTTTCACGGGCGTACACTTTCTTGAGCAACGAGCCACCAAGTGCCGCACGTGTTGGTAATGTGAGATGGTCTGGTCGACCTTGCAGGATAGCACTTGCTAGAGAGCATGATTTTCTATTTGGCGGAATGCCAAGTTTGTCGAATAGGACATTAGCGCGATCCTGTACTGGAAAGTTTTTTTTTTCGCTCTAGTTCCGAAGGGGCAGCATCATCACTGGTCTCTTCGTTGTTGACGCTTGCTCTTTCGGGCTCGCTTCCCAAGACTGCGTCGAGCACGCCTTGCTGCTTCTGCCCTTTCCATCTCCAGGTCTCGATAACGACGCCACTTCATTTTCGGAAATGGCTGGGCAGGCCACGATGTGAGTCAACAACGCGCGACTTGGCTGCACATTTTGTACCGGGAGGTGGCAATGCAAGCACTCGACATCAGGGTATTGTTTGGTCGGTCCTTTGGGTATTAGAACCGTGACCTCCTTCCACAAACGATGTGCGCGCCTTGGCGTCGTCTGCGCAGTCATTAATACAGACAGTTATCCATATGTCATTTCATCCACACAAACTTACAGGACTCGACGGTGGGGAGGACAGGACGTCGCTCTGTAGGCCGCCGTTGCGACGTTGAAAGGGCAGTGCGCCGCGCGTATTGAGCACTTCTTGGTTGTAGTTGAAGTTAAAGTGACATTCACTCTGTAAAATAAATATTAAAAAAATATATACGTAGATTTCCGATTTTTGCTCGTTGTGGTACAGTTGTGCACCTCCAATTCGGCAGGGCGGACCATATCAACAGTGCCAGGGCATAAGTGCATTCAGTAACGTAAAGCATAAAACAAACGCAAATCCAGTGCACTGATACTAATTTTGTTAATTCAGTAGGAAATTTACATTTAGTTTTGAGACGATTCCTGTGTGGCACCAACATTGTCTTTGGCGGTAAAAAATAAAGTGTTTATTTGTATGAAGACGTCCGCTCCAAAATTTAAAATCAGATCGATCCGGCGTGTCATCCCTCCCCGAGGAGGGGAAAACCGTTGAGGTTAATTGCTAGGGTGGTGATGGGCGAAGGTAATTGCGCATCCGATTCGCGTAATCATAAAATCTGGCAGGGCATCGACTGATACCGGTGCCGAATTGGAGATGCACGACTGTAATTGTATTGCTGTACTTTTGGCGCACAACATGTACACGAGGTTCCAGCTGGAAAGACTCGAGAACTGTATTGAGGCTGCTGGATAATCTGAGGAGATATTGACAAGAACTACGAGTGTTTTTAAAGCGGCAGATCGTGGCCTTTGCGGCTGAAATATGGTAAATATCCCAGCTACCCGTACGAAGTTCCACCCGCTGAACGCGTCCAGCATGAAACGGAAAAGATCTTGC